GTCGGGGCAAAGAAAGCGCATGGATTGCAAATATTAAGAAATAGTGTCATAGATGAGACTTAAGAATTAGCCTTTAGATATGAATGGTAGTGCAAATTCCAATCATCGTTCTCCAATTTGAGACTTTAAGTAGTCAAGTTTCTGTAACATTACGCTCCTTTATTATGTTTTTTGAGAGTCTGAATGAACACCGATTCCTTGGACATTTACAGAAGTTCATCCTTTAATATGAAAAATTGCCCAGCAGAGGAAAAGATATCATATCAATGCACAAACAAAAAGAGCTTATAGAAAGCTGTTTCCAAATTTTCTTCCTGGTGTGACCGTATCCTGAATGTATCGAGTTCTATCAGTTCTTTGCGTTGTTGCTTGCGACTTTTGGGACTTACTGAAATGAGCTCAAGTGTGAGCAGCAACAGAGGATACTATGCTTTATGTTGAAGACCTACAGCTTTGCTCGTTCGCGTCTTTCTCTTCGCTGCAGAAGGCGATCTCTCTGGTTGTTTCGCTCCTCGACACGTTCACGATCAGAACTTTAAAAATTTGGTTTTCCTGATGGCTAATATAGCGCACAGCAAAAAAGTAAAGAAACTGTGACTACTGGTTTTTTTTGGTTATTTCTATCATATTTGGATAGATGTTTACTGGAAACAGTAATGAGTGCAAACTAGCCACCAACCTGTTTGTCAAATTGAATGTTTGAGGGTGGGCTCAGAGGAGCTGACAAGATTTTGCGATATACAGCTAAATAAGTCCACCAAAAAAAGAGTGCGGAGCTCGGAAGAGATCAGTTATTATAGAAGCTTTTCAGATTGCTGCTTTTTGTAAAGTAAATTTATTGTATAAAAGCATAAGTGAAGAAAGATTAAGAAAATAAAATTCTTGACGCATCAATACGTTGTATAATGATTCATGCATAAACATTGAGCCCTGGCCAACTCTAATTTTTTTGTGTCTTTGCAAAAAAACGCCCATGGTGTTATTTTTTTGAGCAAACATTTAATCCATCGTTTCCCTAGACAAACATCTCATATTTTGCATACTTTCAACTAGGGCTTAAAATCCTGCTGAGTTACTGTTTGCAAAGATTGAGTAGCCCGTGCACTTGGAACTCCTTCCTTAAATCTCCAAGACAGCTAAAGGGATCACCGAATAGAGCATTAATCAGTTTTCAACACTTTGCTCCTATTTGACTTGACGAATGCAGACAGTTCAACTTTCGGTTTACCTTGTGTCAATAGCGTTATCCGGTAGAAAATACCAAGTATCACGGAATGACTGTCCTGCTGCCACCAAGACATACGCTCCTCTGGACATAAGTTGGGATGGCTCAGTAATCTTACGTCCATCCATATCACATAGCCTGAAATGCCTCACTGTCGTTAATGTCCTACTCCTTTATTGGTCCCTTACTTGTATGGGTTCACATTAAAACGGCGAGCTATAAGCTCTAAAATGTAGTGCATCCCTTTGGCAAGTTGTTTTTTCTGAAAATGCATGTGTTGACATTCCATTCCTTGACCGTTGAGAAAAACGCTGAAGGGTGAAAGTTATTCAACAACAGGAAATAGATTATTAGCTCGATTCTTCTTACTAGATGATGTACGCGTCCGGATGGGTTTGATCTCGACGATTATAAATAGCATCACTGCTGGATCGCGTAAGGTTAGATTGCTTCCTTTAAAAACAAAT